GTATTGGGATACAATGCTGAAGGAATTCTTTCCAAATAAATTACATATACCTGCGAAGATTAAAAAAAAAAACCAACTTTTGAAGGTACAGAAAGGGAGGGGAGCATAAACACTGGAGGAAAAAAAAAAAAAATAAATAAAAAAGCCCACATTTATCATTAACAAGTAAAAACCATGCAGCAGCTCATTCTACCCACAATTACACACATGACTAAGTTTAATCAGGCCCTGAAGTCAAGAACAAACAGCGAGTGTGAGCACCGTAACAATCGTGTTTAAAGGAAAAATTACATTCCCTGTTTGGCCTCTGATGGAGCCAGGGATGGCAACGCAGGTGGCAGAAGCCTGGGACCTTCAGCACACGCTCAGAAACCTGATTATGTTCCTCTGATTCGCTCAAGCGCTTCGGAGAGCTCCTAAAAAAATATGCTGAACCCTTCTAGAGCTCTCTGAAAAAGCAGGGTTTATGTGTAAAAAAAGAAAAAAATTTAATTACTGGTGGCAAAGGTCCCATCAGTCTGACCTGCATCTCGAAATTTCAGCAAAGCCAAACGCAGGGAGAGCCTCTCTTTCCTTCAATTTAAATTTAGGCCTGATTCTGAAAGTCACTTCATTTTATCACTCAAGCAACAGGTACCAAGCAACCAAAAGTCAAATTTCAATTAAAAAAACTGAAAACACCCAAAGAACCAAAATAAACAAACAAACAAAGCCAGTAGTAGTGACATCAAATGTACTCAACTAGACTTATGAAACTGAAATTTTTGGCATGCAGAACAGCTAACAAGTCAGAGTCACAGTGCTTGGTGCAAACAGGCAATTCTTCTTAAAAAGAAAAAAGAAAATAATACCTGTTACTTCTCAGCCAGCTGGATCAAGAGTATCTCTTGACACTTGCTTCTCAGAATTATGGAACACTTCCTCTGTAAGAACTTTTTTTAAAATTATTTTTCTAGTCTTATTCTCAGGGGAATCCAGCGTATTTGCATCCATAATAATGTTTTTCCTGTATTTAGGATGCCTTTCCCCAAACCCCTAATGTAATTGTACATCCACTCAACAGTAGGTGTGCATTAAAAGGCAGAGAAATTATGAATACCCTCGAGCAAAAGGAATGAGTTATATTTTGAAATATACAGAATAACTTATAGAAAATTTGAGCCTTATCCAGCAAAGCCTTTCTCCTAAGAAACACGTGTGTGAATGAGGACCATAAAAGATCCTTTATTAGCAAAAAAAGAAAGACAGAAATAAAAAGGTTTTGTTTTTCTTAACTCATTAAAAAAAACCCAAAAAACAATTCTGATAAATCAAAGTGGAAAGATGTAAGTTGCACTGGAAATGGAAGCTTTTTCCTGATTTATTTTATTTTAGTGTCGAGACTCCATCTCTGTTCCACAGTAGTCTGTGACAATGACTTTGCCCAATGACTGGTTTGTTCAATGACTACGCTTCATTCTTAAAATTATATTACAAATTATGCCATCCTCAGTAGGTACTATCTGCTCTCAAGTAGCTCCCAACACTTTTAAAATGAAAATATTATAGAAACATCCAATTATTTACAGGATTGAGGCTGACAGGCCACACAGCTAAGCCTCTGTATTGAATGCATATTCCACACAGCTAATAGTGCCATTCATATGCAGCCCCCAAAGAGATTTGGGTAATGCCTCAATAACCATAACTTCTAACTGTGGGTTGGGAATGCTCTTATTATTATTATTATTTTTTTTTTTTCTCCTCCAATTATGTAATGCAAATTGTGAAAAGCAGAATTTGCATCTTAACTTGACTACTATATTATCTCTGCTTTGCACCTTAGGAAATTGCCAGATATTAAGTTATAGTTAGAGCTGCACCAAGACCATCAGAGTTCACTGGAATCAGAGTAATTTTATTTTACTTCCTGGCTCAATTGTCTTCTGAAAAGCAAGATCTACTTTTTGTCTTTGCATATATTTAAAATGTGTAAATTAAGAGCCATAGGTCAGCTGTTATTAACTAAAAGTAACATCTGTCTGCCTAAAGAAGTATTTCCTTTCACTGGATATCTCAGACTTAAGAATAAACTGCTAGAGAGCTGGATAAACCTCATTCTTGGCAGCTGGCTGACCCACTAATTATTCTAAATTTCTACTTTATCCTAAAGTACATCTTTATTTCAGCAAATAATTAAACAGTTCATTTAGCGACCTTGTTCCACAAATCCTAGTTCAGTTCCTTGCTGCTCTCATGGCTACTTTCACTAAGCTTAATATTATCCAAAGCACATTGCCAAGTTTCATTAAAAATGTTGATTTAGCCCTTGAATAAATTGCCACAGTAATACTAGATGTCTATATGGATAAATACAATTCAACTCCTTTTCCTGCCACTGCACCCACACACAAAGCATGAGGAAGGCAGCACTCCTTTTGCTCTAATTTCTGTGTCAAACATATTTTTATTTGCATTCTTCTGAGTACTTTTGGCCATATCCAAGGATATATTTTCCTTCCAAGGAGTAGAGAATTGCCACACAACTAGCCTCAACATCCATAAATCCAAAATATTTGCTGAAGTAGAATCCTTTAAGTTTTGATGGCTTAGTATTTACTCTCAAGAGAAATGCTGCTTTCTTAGCATACTGTGACATCTTTTGAGAAGTAGATAAAAGTAAAGTAACTTTTCTTGAAAGTTATGACACAACTTCTCTTACGTGGTAACACCGCCTGCGTTGAAAAACACTGTGTTTTCAAAAAAAAAAACAATCTGAAAGGCAAGGGGAAAAAGAAAACCTTGGATGCTTTCCTTTGCTAAAGAGGTATTTTTAATTCCTTTTTCTTGTTTTTGGATCTTCTTTAGGATTCAGCTTTAGGGCAGGCTCGTGGTGCTGGGTTTGTGGCAGCGCTCCCCTCGCCTGGAGAGCGTGGCTGGTGAAGTCACCAAAAACTCCACGTGGGAAATAACTCCAAACAAGCTCTATTTGCTAAAGCAAGAAATGTGGGAGAGGGTTTTGTGTGACTTGGCCTGGAAGCATTCACATTTGTATTTAGATTTGTATTCACACTGAGGAGGCAGCCCTGGCTGCAGGTCTGAGCAGGAGAGCCCAGGAACGAGGGAAGACTCCTTGGTGCACGTGCAGACGTGATCAGGACATCAGCTCAAATCTGGCACTTGATCCCAGAGCACCACAGCATGCTCTCCATCCCCCTGTTTGCCATGGAGCACTCCCAGAGGTGAAGGAATTTCCAGGTTCACTTCCCCCACTGCCACCCCTTTGCTTGGATAAATAATTTTTAAATTTTTTTAAATTTTTTTTTCTCTTTCTGCTCAGTGACACAATACTGGAAAACATTTTGGGCAGGACCCCAAGGTGCTGCCAGCTTAAGATAAAGCCCTTTGCAGCACCCAAGGATCTGGCATTCCATCAGCACAAATTACTGGAGTAATTAAAAACTACTCCATAAAAAGAACACCTACATTTGAGAACTGGATCACGGTGCTAATTCTGCATCTCCACACTTTTTTGACAGGCTGAAGAGAACTGAAAATTATTAGCCAAGCAAATTGACTGAAAACTTGATTAGCAGCTGGCAAGAGACTTCAGATGGAGCTCAGAAACCTCAGTGATGTTGAGAAAAAACAACCAGCAAAGTGGAAATTATTTCAGTTCGGTTTTTGTAATGTTTCAGGTAAACGGGGTTATTTCCTATCTTCTTATTTAATAACTAAATATTATATAAATTTATATAAATATTATCTAAGAAGTTAATAAGAATTGCCACTGCCACATAAAGTGCAAAACAGAAAAATGGAGATACAGACTGATAGAATGGATGTCCCATATGGTCTCAAAATAAAACTAATTATGTTATAGCCAGCAAGAAGAGTCACTCTTTAGATTCAGCCCTGACTCAATCTCTAAATAGAGTAGGAATTCTTTGCACAAACAAAAATCATAATGTTGCTGTGTTTCTACTGAAATTTGCCTAAAATTAATTATTTTCAAACTAAAATTATTTCAAAGAACTACAACAAAAAATCATTATCTTCTTAGTTGTCCCCCCGCACACAGGACTCAGACATTCATAAACAGACAATTACTCAGCCCAGGGCCTCTGTATATTTGCAGTATTTTGCCTCCATAGGTTTTCCTTCAACAACCAATGTTAAATAAAATGAACCTGAATTTCAGGCACAGGTAGGCTGCTAAAATCAAACTGACCAAATACAATGGGAAAAAGGCATTTTCCATTGCAATGGACTGCAATGTGAAAGAAGAAAAAAGCAAAGTCTGCTTTCTCTACATATTTCTATGCCATCCTAAAAAAATTGCAATTTTTAAACTCATAAAACAGGGCTGTAAATTCAAACATTCCTAGCTGGTGTCAAACCACAACTTTTACGTCAAAATGAGATAATTCTCCTGCTGATTCAAACAGAAATCTTTGCTAATCATGGGAAATGTCTTTGTAATCTGCTTGTGTCCATTTGCTTGTGTTGCCTGTTTAAAGACTTTACAATCCATGGAGTATTACAGATAAAAACAGAAAATATATATTTTCAAATGTAATTTGCCATACATTTAGGAAAAAAAAATTGGCGTTTTTGAAGAAAATACTACCAATCCCACAGCAGCTCTGAGGTAACTAGAAGCACCTCCCACAACACAAGGGAATATTTCCAGAAGTTGAAATGGACACAAGAAAAATACTTTCAAGTGTTACAAATCCTGACCCCCTTTGTGTTCTAAGAGCAAACTATTTTTTTTCGCCTGGAGACTTCATTTTCAGAAAAAAATCTATTAATCTGTTAAAGATTAATCTATTAATCCATTAAAGATGGAACTGAGAGGTGGTTTCTTTCCACTGGAATCCCCAAGGCAGAACCTCAGGGTTGTGAGGTTGGAACCTCCTCCACCAGAGGCTGCCCGTGCCCAGCTGGGTTTGGAGTCCCAGGAACCCGGTGAGGTCTGTGAACATAAAAACATTTAAATACATTTAAAACCTGCTTACTTTTCCTGCTCTGCCTCGTAAGCAGCCACCTTAGCTCCTGCCCCTGCAGGTTTTGCTGTCCTCTGCCTTCGTTTTCTCCTCGGAGCTGGGTCCACGATGTCTGGGCTGCCCAGGAGGGAGGAATCCCTTCGTTCTGGAGCTGCCAAGAGGAAAAAACAACCAAGGTCAAAAGAAATCTAACATTTGAGGTCTTTCAAGACAACCCTTGAAGTGTTTCTTCTCTGTGTCTTTCTTACAGAAATCTCCATAGTCCCAGGATGGTCTCAGGACTGGGAGAAGTTTGTGACATAAAGGCAGGTTCAAAAAGAGTGAATTTAAACTAGAAAGATAATCTTTTCTTGGTACCTCTTTGTAGAGAGAAAGGCCAGCAACTCCAAACTGGACAATCTGTCTGGATTTTCACTGCCTCCTTTGCTGATGCTGAGTGAAGCAGGCTCTGTCCAGGTTCATCTACCTATTTAAATTACCATGTAAATTCATAAAATATGCTTTATCTATACTTAAACAACAAACCCCTCTCCACTTTGACAATTACCTACTCAAAACTCAAATGTCAAGGCAGACAGATCCTTCCTTAAGCTAAAAAAAACAAAAACAAAACAAAACACAAAACCTATTAATGCATTCAGAAGTTATGCAGACATTTTTTATTCCAGCTATCTACATCCTGCAGTGTGTTTTGATGGTATGCCTGCTTTCAAAGTGAAATCTTTAGTTACCTGTAATTTTCAAGACAATGATATCCAGAACAGTACAAACTTCAGCAGAAATATATTAAATAATAATGGGGTGGCTGAGGCTGAAGCTTTTGGGGTCCCTTCCCTGTTTATTACGTTTCTTTGCATTTTAGGGTGGTTTAATCCTCATGGGGATGAAAGATGCCATAATTTGAGACTCAAATGGTTTTCACAGAAAGTAAATAATAATGAGTCCTGTTTCCCCACCCCTTTCACAATGGTTACCCACGTGTGCTGAAAATGAAGCAGGGAGGTAACACACAGCCCACAAGTGGCATTTTCACCGTTTCTCAGAGAAACATGTGTTTCTGGCCAAGAACACTGATAAATTTATCAGAGGCTCCCCACAGCCTCTGCTCAGAGTGAGGCACATGCTTTACATTTAATAATATTAAATATTCACCAGCAGGCACTACACTACATCACAGACTTGCAGATACTTGCAGGGTGACAACAGGCATTAGCTGACATATTTCCCAGGCACAAGCTAATTAACAAGTTCCAAAGTCCAGCACAGACAAGATACATTCCTACAATAAATGCTGAGAAGGGTTAAACTACACTAACCATAAACCATTCTAAACTTTAACCAGCTATGCATACTTTTCCAGTGTTAACTGCTGAAAATACACTTATGATAGTTACTCTTTACCTGTCTGGGGCAGCGTGTCCAACATGGGCACAAACACTGGTTTATATATTTCAACATCACTGCTCAAAGTTGGCCTCTTCATAATGAATACACACAGAACAGTTTTATGTCAAGAACCCAACAAATCTGAATAATTTTACTATCATAACTGCTATCCTTCCTTTTTGCTGTTCTCCTCCCACACCCTCTGTTTTGGCCAAAGAGTAGATCCAGAGGTGAACCTCATGTAGAAAATCTACATTTCCCTAACATAATAAAGAAATGTCTCTGTGTTTTCACCTGTGCAATGTGCACTGGTGATCACAGCCCTCAAGCCCAGTAACAGAATTCCTCTGTGTCTAAAACGAATTTTAAAAAGTCCTTTTTTTTTTCTTCTTCTTCTTTTTCTAAAAAAAATAATTTCTGTTAATTATAGCAAAAGAAAGGCTTCTCGTTCAGGCAGCCCAGAATTCAATCCCACAAACAGGAGCAGACTGGCTCGTGGGTGAGGACTGATCACCACAGGCTTGGGGATTTTTGTTGCGTTTGTTTCTTTCTTTTAAGCTAAAACTCTCAGGATTGCTGAAGAAAAGATGGAATACACTTGACTCTCACAGTACCATGCATCACCGCTGGGCTCTAAACACACACCCACTACTGCTGCCCAAAAATAATTCCCACTAATGAATTCATTTATAGCACTTGAGTAAAAGCCAAAGAAAGCTTCAGCAGAATACTGCTCATTGCTCAATGTAAAAATCTTTTGGAAAAATGAGAGACAGCCTTAGGCACAAGCCTAGCTTTTTCATTCTGAAAATATTTTCTGTCTAAATTTAAGCAACGTTTTAAGGAGGGAAAGATCCTCGTGAAAATAAATTTTCTACTTTTATGTTACGTAATTCAGTATGAAGGGTTGTTATACCTTTGAGAGGAATGGTAGCAATTTAAACACAGACAAGAGTACTGCTGGATGAAAAACAGTAATTAAACCTCCTACACCAAACATTGATTAGGAAAAGAAAATATTCCCAGCAGAGAACATACTTCCTGCAAGAAAATAAGATTGATAAGAGAGCAAGAAGGGGACTGTGGTTCAAGTACTGGAAGAATATTTGTGCCAAGAAGATTAAAGACTTTAAATAAAAACTCCTGCAGGTTGGAGGGCTTTTCCTTGTTTTGGGGGTCCTCTTCTGTAACTTTGAAGAGTGATATTATTTGGTGGGTTGAGGGAGTTTTTCCAATAGGGTATTCCAGAAAATAACTGTAAATTAAAAATAGCTGTCATTGGTTTGGAAGAGCTGGGATGAAATTAAATCAAGGCAGCCCCTCAGTGTTGGGGACCTGGAAACAGAATATGCCTTAAATACAGAAAAACTCTGAAAAACACAGAAAAAAAAGTCAGGACTATTCCTCGAGACATTTGGAAATACAGCATCAGGATCTCTGAAACAACAGAGATTAATTTCTGCAGCCTAGTTATAGGCAGGCGGTCCTGTTAGATTCCACAATACACTTCTGCATTACTTTATTTTGAAATACAGAAGTCAATTGTTTAAAAATAAATACTTTCCAATCTGACATATCCACCTTTTAGTCTGAAAAAAACAACTCTGTGCATCTTCATTTGTGTATACCATGAAAACGTATTTTCACTTCTAATCAAAATCCTACAGCATTGACTTGTCTAATTATTCATGACAGTGTCACCAAGAAAACAGGATCCAGATCCTCTCAGTACAGCAGTAAAGGGCTAAAATCAGCACCAAAAGCTTAGTTTTCCCATAAAAAACATAAACAGGGACCAAAGCAAGCAAAAAGCAAAGCAGAAGTTTTCCAAAACTGAGGAATTTGTTAGTCTACAATAACCTAACTTCACAGTCAGAATACACAACCTCAGTTATGAATAATGGACCACAGGCAAGAAAAAATCGGATTTTACCCACAGGAAATTCAGTCACAGATATTATTTCTCTTCATCTTGCTGTTATATAGACAAGTGATTAAATGGATTCAAGGAATGTTCATAGTCTCAGCCTGTACCACTAAATGAAATGTATTTTGTTTGATCACAATAAAGAACTTGCAGTTATTAAAAAAAAACCAAACAAACAAAAAAACCCAAGCTTTTCCAGATTGGTATAGAACAGGAAACATTTTTAAAGGACACAGGCATTTATTCTGAAGAGAAGCCTTTATTTAAAATTATCTCCTATCCTGGAGATTTCATCAACAGCAGGACAGAATTCTGACAATTTTCATTTCTCTTCTGAATGAAAATAAAGACTTAGGAAAATCTGTTCAGACTTTCAGATATTAACACTACTGTAGCTCCCCAAAATTCCACCCAGAGCCCTCCTGTTAGCAGAACTCCCTGGCTGAATTCTGCCTAGCTCCAGGCAGAATGTGTTGCTCCGTGGAATTAATCAACTGAACTTCCAAGTTCTGCTCTTTAATGAGGCTGATGATTTAATGTGAACCAGTACTAGACAAAATGGGCTGAGAGGTGGCCACAAAACCATCACCTGGAGAGCACCAGGGCCGCCTGTCAGAGCTGTCCCCCAAGCTGCCAGAGAAAGGAAAAGGCAGAAGGAGGGAGCAGAACTCATCACTTTAATCCCTGACTGCAGCATAACTCCAGCAATTTCGCGGTTTCTCAATCCCAGCATAATTCCCCAGGGATCACCGTGGTTGATGGTAATTAGCATCCCTTTGACAGCCTCAGCAGAGCCCTCTAAATGAATGGGTATGGAAATTAACACATCCCAGGGATGCAAAGGCAGTATCTGCAAAGCAGGATTAAGTCATTCCTGACAGGCAATTGAGGAAACATCATTCCTACCTCCGTGTTCACAGATCCTGGCATTTTTCATGAGAAATAGATCTATTTGGGTCACTCAGAGATATTAAACACTGCTGTTTACAGTTCATGCATCTGCTTCAGTGAAAGCAACAGGAATATGTCACTATATTAATTTTAGGGAAACAATGAGAGCCATTCCCCATTCCCTTTGTCCTGCCCTACAGTATATTTAATTCTTTGTATAAATTTGGGTTTACTGTACCGTAATCCCCTGGGGGCAAGAAGCAGTTGAGACAGAGGTTCTATAAATTCTCTGTCAGCTGGTTGTTAACGTTTATTTTCACAAAGAATATCTCCATGGGAAGTGTTTATGAAGACACATTTTAAAACAACTCCAGCAAAAAGTTTAGATCCAGCTATACAAAATTTATAAATTGTAGTCAGCTCAGTAAGGAAGTTTACATTTTACCCTAGCAGGCTGTATGACCACTGAGTTTTCTATTTGCAAAGTCTATTCTTTTCCTGACATCACCCTTTTCTAAAAGCTTTTTAAATGCAGCACTTGAATTAAAAACAAACAAACAAACAAACAAACAAACAACAACAACAAAAAAAAACCCCAAACCAAACAAAGAACCCCACACAAAACAAACCAAACAAAAAATCTCACACAAAATGTGCTCATTTCAAACCTGCAGGGAAACAAATCAAGTTATGGTAAAATCTGTTTGCCAGAAGGTTTCCTTTCCAATGATTATTTGTTGGGGATTTATTTATTAGGGATAACTCAGATGTGCTATCCTACATTGTCTTGAAACTACATGGCACAGGAAATTAGGGTAAATTTGACACACAAATAGTAAGCTTGGCCAGGGAGCATGAAAAAGTCTCTTTCCATCTATCAAAATACAAGTGGGTAAAAAAAAGAATGCATTTTACACATCTCCAAGAGACTCTGAGGGAGCTCATTA